CAAAAAAAAAAAAAAAATGACATTAATTTTTTTTTATATAAACTAAATGAGTTTTTTTTCCTATTTCAATTCCAAAAATACTTTAACTTACCTTTAGTAGAAATAAATGGCCCATTAAAGGGTTAAAACTAAGATTCTTTACTTTTAGAAAGTTGATTTTGATTTGTCAGCATAATCTCTTAAAACTGACAAAACCTTATTAATTTTTTTTTAAGCATGCGAAACCAACCAACAAAAAATTGTTACATTAACCACAACAATTAAAATGTACAATACAATAACAATGATTATGAGTACTTCATCTAAAACAATAAAAAAAAAAAAACACTTCTAAAGTCAATTCCAACTTAGGAAAAATAAGTTGGAATTGACTTTAGAAGTGTTATAGTCAAAAAATTCAACAAGTAAAAATAAGGTTACTTTTTATTAAATAATAAAATTTTTTCTCCCATCTAAAACTAAAATTTATTAATTTGAAGAAAAAAAAATATTCTTATTAAAAATAAACTATTGTATATTCTACATGTTTTGCTCTTCAGGTGTAGGTGAGCATTTCCCCAGGTGACAGAAGGTGTGGCAAAAGTCAGTTTCATTACGTAATTTGGGTCTTCTAATCTTTGCAAGTGTCCACATTATCTTATATGATAAAATATAAATTAATGTAAAGATTTGAATGATGCTGAGCTTTTCAAATTTTTTGTAGAGCTAAATGCTGTAAAGTATTCATCATACGTAAAAATGTTATTAATTTTTATCAAGTCACATTTTTTCTTTAAGCAGCACTACATTTGGAATCTTCGAATAATTTTAAAGTCAAATGTTACGCTTAAAAACAAGATTAATATGATATACAAAGAAAATAATAAAATTCTCATGTTGCAAAGCAAGTCATATTAAAAAAAAAGCAAAACACAATAAATAAATAGAAGTCATATAATAACATAAACAAAGAGATGGCAAATCAGAATAATTAAACAAAAAAAAAAAAAAAAAGAAAGAAAGCAGTAGTATAAATTATATCAAAGTTTCTTCTTTGAGATGGTAGCAACATGGAACTTTATTGCATTTTACCCCTCAACCAAGACAAGAAACTGGGTGAAAGTTGCATAAATTATTAATTAGTTGATTTAGCTCTTTAAACTGAGAAATATAACTATTTCTAGTTCACTTGCAAAATTTTCTATCAAAAATAATTTTATAGCAAATATATCTTGATAAAGGCACCAACTCCAGATATCTGTTTTTAAGATGATTATTTTCCACAATGTATGAATATTTAATACTAATTTTTCACGCCAGTGATAGATAATTATATACAAAATTAATTTATAAATGCTTAAAAACAAGAAAAAAATACACTTATTATTTTGAGATTATGCTTGATAAAGATATCCTAAGTCAGGAAGAAAATATTTAATTTCTTTTTGATTATGTTTCATTCTTAGTCAATCTCTGACCGTTACCTGTATGTTGCAGCTGTCATAATTATAATTAGATATAGATACTTAGCACATGGAGCTTAAAAGTCTGATGTCAACCAACATTTAGTTTTTGTAAACTTTATAAACAATGGAATTAATTTTAAAAACGATTAGGGTTTGATTATTTAATTAAAAGAGACATTTAACCAAATTGAAAATTAAAAATGCACATAGCAAAATAGGAGATTTGAAAATAAGGACAAATTATCAAAATAAGAAGTTTATATGTATACCTAAAATTTTTTTATTGAGTTCACAGGCAGAAATCAAGTAATCACCTTAATACTAAAGGTTATTTTATTCATGTACAAAAAAACCTTCAACTGAAAAGCGTAAGTCATTTAGATATTACGAAAAAAGGAGTTAGTGAAATAAGCACATAAATTCTTATATACTTATTAAACTATAAAAAACTTCTCACTTTATCTATTTTTTATTTCTGTACGTAACCAAAGTAATTAAATGGAAACATTGATATTTGCACCCCTGCTTTCGAAAAAAAATTCATGTGTTCGCTGAGTTATGACTCATACTAACTTTCAGTTGTCTTTGGTATGTTACACAGATTTTCTCAAAAGATTAGGTAAGTTGGAGAAGTGGAAGTAAGTAGGAAATTCATAAATTACGAAGAAAAACAAATTCGCTGAAATAGAGGTTTAGTTCTTAAAAGTGAGCTATGTTCCAATAGACTTAACACTGTACCAACCATATTCGATTCGTTTATTAAATCCAGATTCTCGTTACATCAGGGCTTGTTATAAGCAAATGTAACTGTTTATATAATCAATTGAAACAAATATATAAGACCTATAATAAGGACAATGAAGTTCTTAATTGGTGACAAAATTTAACAAATTAAGATTTTTTTAATAGTTATTTCACAACCACTTTAAACATTGTAGTGTGGCAGGATTTCTTGGTTGACTCTATGCATGATGAATAATTTTATTTTGCAAACCTAAATATAAATCAGAAACAAAAAATAACTTTAATTGGTTAAAAATAAAATATTTTAAATAAAAAGACTCCCACAACAACCAGTTGTTGGCCAAAGGAGTCATGGAATTTAAGCCAACTCAATTTTGAAGCAAATGGCTTTATGGGGGAAATGTAATAAGCAAAGTACAATGAACGCCTCATACTTTCACAAATAATAATCTGAAGCTGTGTTTTTATTTTTATAAATAAATTGACTTTTTGATATTTACAATGTTATATGATTTTGTGGCACGGGGATACATGCCACTATTGTCACAATGCATACTATCGTATCATTGCAGTATAGCAACTGAGATCATACTGAAACAAAAATAAATTAGAATTTAAAAAAAAGAATAAATTAATAATTAAAAAGGTTATTTGCTTAAAAAATAATAAGCTTATTTAACATAATTTACATACAGTATGTAGTCACAACGAAATGCTGATATTGAAAGAAGGGATATTTCTCACTCATTATCACTTACTCAAAAAAATAAATTTTCAGAAAAGAGTATGATTGCTCTGTCATGTGGAATATTTATAATCAACAATCCTTTGCATACTAGCTAGAGCAGATAAGTCTAAAATATTTTTTAGTCAGTTTTGCAGAAGTTCATAATAAAATAATCAGCAATAAAACTAAATTATATTTTATTTATGAATTGAAAAAAATAATAACTAAAATGAAAAAAAAAGAGATTGGTTTTTAAAAAAATTTTACTCAGTAATACTAATAAAAAGTCAGCTGCAATCACTGTCTGAGGAATATTCATAGTTAACAATTCTTCGCGTACTAGCATGAGCAATAGACGACTCTTCTTTAGAAGAAAGTTCAACAGATTCAGATGAAGAAGGATTACATTCATGTTGGAGAGGCTTAACTGAAGGCTTTAAATTCTCATTTTCTTTCAAATTAGTGCTAAAACATAAAGGTTTGTCCATAAGGTCCATGTTGACAAAAAATACAGGAGGATCATTCTTTTTAGGCTTTTCTTGTTCTAAAATTGGACAAGGAATAGGTTCAAACTCACTTTTATCTCTTACGTCAACAGGATCTGGAAAGATAGAAATGATTCAAAGGACAAGCATAAAAATAAGATATTTAAAACTAACATATAAATACTAATTTCAATAGTTTTTATAATTATATAAACAACTAATAATTGTTTACATTGACATTTTTGGTTACAGTTCATAACTTTTTATCTAAATATGAATAAAAATCAAGGGCCACAATCAATCATTTTTAGACAATGAATGGGTTACTTTAAATTGTATCAGAAATATTTGGCAAGAAACTTGTTTCATTTCAGGTTGTTAATAGATTATTATGATTCACTCTATCATTAGTCTGAAACAACCAGGTAATTTTACATAGAAAGTTTTTCAAACAGGAAAAATAAAGTAATTACGAAAAACTTGTAGCATTTATATTCCATTGAGAAAATTTCTGTAACAAATAAAATTATTTTGTTAATTTCAAATCAATTGCTTAAATTAATACAAGCACAATTTATTATTTAATTAGCTTTCCCTTAATTTAAGCACCAAAAAATAATTGTTTTCTTTTTGGGAAGATCATTAAAGAGAGGAAGGAAATAATTTTTTCGGATAACTGTAAAACATGAAACATTTTCTGGAACATTTATGGTTATCTTGGTTTTATTCGTATACACGATTAATTTATGCTCAGGTAATTTCACACATAGACTTTGATTTTTAGTGAATGTTTCGTTCCATACAAATTTTATCAACACTCTTGACTTCTCTGACCTTATTAAAAATAATTTAACAACTAAAAATATTTAAATTACTTTATCACAAAACATTTAGTCTAGTATAAAATAATTAAAATGTATTTAAAATAATCCAATTTGAATAATCAATTTGTATATTGAACTTCGTAGAATTAAAATTAGAAGGGATGTCCCAGTAGACACAAGACACTGGGAAAGAGAGGAAGATTGAGGCAACCTTGGGGTTGTTGTGAATGCAAAGAAATAAAAATGCTATACAGTTTCTCAATTTTGTGAGTCGAATTTTGCTTATAGTAATTCAGTTTAATAATAATCAAATTTGAGTCTTTTGTGAATCTAATTTTTTTCAACTCTGACCTATTAATACAAGAAGAAAAGTTTTATACCTTTTATTTGTAGCAGTATTATTATTTTTCCAATATCATATCATTTACATCACTAAATACTCATAGATGGCTAAATAAAATTTGACAAAAATCATAAAGCAAAGATTAATCTAAAATGAATCACTTTTATCCCAATTTTTCATTATCTCTCGGAGGCATAATAATGTGAACATTTTGAGTCAGATTAATTTCATTTAAAAATAATAATCTGACACACACAGGACCAAGGGTATGTTAGATAATTTGATTCTAATAGCATTGATTTTCCAATTGTATAAAAATTGAACTACATTTAACATAACTCAAAACAACTAGTGATTATAATTGCATTTAATAAAAACCTTAACTTGTGTTTAATTTTCCTATCATAAATAAAGATAACATAAAAAAAATCATTGTCATTATAGCAGTAATTGGATTGAATTAAAGGGGGCGTTAATGGCACAAGGTATAAAAATAAAGTCTGAGTTAAGATGATTATAATGAGTCTCCTCTCAAAAAGGGTGGCAGATGATCGAACATTAGATAATCAGGATTCTAATGAACTTAAATTTCTCAATTATACCCCTGAAACAACTCACAAATACATCTTTGTTACACTGGAATTAAAAAAAAAAGAAGTATTNTACTCAGTAATACTAATAAAAAGTCAGCTGCAATCACTGTCTGAGGAATATTCATAGTTAACAATTCTTCGCGTACTAGCATGAGCAATAGACGACTCTTCTTTAGAAGAAAGTTCAACAGATTCAGATGAAGAAGGATTACATTCATGTTGGAGAGGCTCAACTGAAGGTATTAAATTTTCATTTTCTTTTAAATTAGAGCTAAAACATAAAGGTTTGTCCATAAAGTCCATGTTGACAAAAAATACAGGAGGATCACTCTTTTTATGCTTTTCTTGCTCTAGAATTGGACAAGGAATAGGTTCAAACTCACTTTTATCTTTTACGTCAACAGGATCTGGAAAGATAGAAATGATTCAAAGGATCTACAAACATAAAAATCAGAAATTTAAAATTAACAGATAAATACTAATTTTTTAATTATATGAACAGCTACTAATATTTAAATTGATATTTTATTAGTTACAGTTTATAACTATTTAGTTCTTTATCTAAACACAAATAAAAATCAAATTAGACTCAAGGAATCATTTCTAGATAGTGGATGGGTTACTTTAAACAGCATCAGAAATACTTGCGTTAATAAAATCTTGTTTCATTTCTTGCTGTTAATGAATTATAATGAGTCATTATATCATTAGGGGTCTGGTTCATTTCATCGACAATCACTTCATCCACAGGCCATTTCATTGACAAGTCATGTCAGAAATTTCCCTCTTCAGCAGCATAGCTGACAAAGACATGAGGAAGAGGGTTAGAACAAAATTTTTTATCAACATAATTTTTGCCAATTTGTTTTCCAAGCTGGATTTTCATTTTATTTTTCCCCACATGCATTTTTTCCCCAAGATTTTTATAATACTAGGAAGTTCTGCCCCTTTCTCACTTCGCTCACCAACCTTCGTAATAGCCACTCTTACAACTTAGTTTGTTTTTTTCCTATATCGACCTTTTTTTTAAAGAGAAAATATAAATATTGAAATTTTATGTAAGAAAATTTTATTAATACGTCAATAGTAACAAAATTAACGATTACTTGCATATGAAAAAAAATCAACTGAGCTTGAAAAAAATAAATATCTAAACACCGGGAATATATAAATTTTTGATAAAACAAGAAGTAATTTTACAGGCCAACTATCTAAAAGATTTGTGTTTTTCGGATTAAATTCTTTGTAAACATCACCATTGTCATCATCATTGCAAAAGTTTGTTCCTTTTCTTTCTCTCTCTCTTTTTTTTTTTGAAAAGACTTTAAACTGTATTAATGCACTTTACTAATTGCGGGGGAACATTATATAAGTATAATTTTCTTTTTATCGACAGAAAATTTTTGCAGCTGAAATGGCCTGTTAACAAAAAGACCTTGTCATTGAAATTACCTATCGACCACATGGGTTCATTATCTCACAGATTCATTATATGCCATCTTTTTTTCCTTCCCAATTTCACCCGTCATTCACTCCCTACATCAGGAATCATTCACAATAGTTATTGCAAGTGGTTTTGCGATGATAATCTACAATAATGTACATTAAAAATTAATCTTAGAAATGAATGCGTTAAATATTACTAGAAAAAAATTGTGTAATATACAACTTAAATGTGTAAAATACAATTAATGTTTCGTTTTTGCAACATGATGTGAATAGAGGAGTAGGCAATTTTCAAATATAATGCTTTTTCCGGCAACTTCAACATACTATTAAGATTTTGCATCAGGCTAGGTTTAAAAAATTTCATCATAAATATACTAAATTACAAAGAATTGCAAGGGGCATAACGTCTGATGTAAAAAATCATAAAACTAGTTTCAAAATTACGCATGACTTTGCCAACAAAATAACCTTTTCTTAATATTGTCGACAGAATGACCCCTGTTGACGAAATGACCTTGTCGATGAAATGACCACGTTGATGAAATCACACTGCCAGTGAAACGACAATGTCGACGAAATGACCCTGTCCATGTAATAACCTTGCCAAAGATATGACCCTGTGGACGAAATGACCATGTCAACGAAATGACCCTGTCGACAAAATGACTTGTCAACGAAATGACCCTGTCGATGAAACAATCATGTGGACGAAACGATTATGTAGACGAAATGACTTGTCGGCGAAACGACCCTGTCGACGAAATTACCCTGTCGATGTAATTACCTTGGCAAAGATATGACCCTGTCGATGTAATAACCTTGGCAAAGATATGACCCTGTCGACGAAATTACTTGTCGATGAAATGGCCTGTCGATGAAGTGATTGTCGATGAAATGAATGCGACACATTATTAGTGTGTAACAACCAGATCAGTTTATACAGAAAATTTTTTAAACAGGGAAAAAAAAATTAATAAAGAAAAACTTGTAGAATTTTCACTTGACTGAGAAAATTTCTGCAACAAATAAAACTATTTCCTTAATTTCAAAATATATTAATTCATGATTAAATTAATACAAGTGCAATTTATTATTTAACTAGCTTTGCCTTTAATTTTAGCACAAAAAAAACAATTGTTTTATTTTTGGGAAGACCATAAAAGAAAGGAGGGAAATAATTTTTTCAGATTATTGTAAAACATTAAAAAAAAAGTGAAATATTTATGGTTATCATTTTCATATTTTATTTGTACACATGCTTAATTTATGCTCAGGTAATTTCACACATAGAATTTTTAGTGAATGTTTCTTTCCATACAAATTTTATCAACACTCTAGACTTCTCTGACCTTATTAAAAATAATTTAACTACTAAGAATATTTAAATTACTTTATCACAAAACATTTAGTCTAATATAAATTAACTTAATTGCATTTAAAATAATTCAATTTGAATAATCAATTTGTTATTTGTTTAGAGATACTTTTATGGTGGGTAAACAAAAATTCTTTAAATGTTATTGAACTTTGTAAAATTAAAATTAGAAGGGATGTCCCTGTAGACACAAGGCACTGGAAAGAACGGAAGATTGAGGCAACCTTGGGGTTGTTGTGAATGTGAAGAAATAAAAATTCCATACTGTTTCTCAATTTTGTGAGTCGAATTTTGTTTATAGATTGAGTTTAATAAAAGTCAAATTTGAGTCTTTTATGAATCTAATTTCTTTTCAACTCTGACCTGTTAACAGAGAAAGAAAAGTTTTATTCCTTTTATTTATCATTTTTCCAATATCATATCATTTACATCACTAAATACTAATAGATGGCTAGATAAAATTTGACAAGAACCATAAAGCAAAGATAAATCTAAAATGAATCATTTTTATCCCTATTTTGCATTATCTATCGGAGGCATAATGTTAACCTTTTGAGTAAGATTAATTTCACTTAAAAATAATAATCTGTCGCACACAGGACCAGGGGTATGTCAGATAATTTGATTTTAATAGCATTGATTTTCCAATTGTATAAAACTTGAACTACATTCAACATAACTCAAAACAACTAGTGATTATAATTACATTTAATAAAAACCTTTACTCATGTTTAATTTTTTATCATAAATAAAGATAACATAAAAATAATCATTGTCATCATAGCAGTAATTAGATTGAATTAAATGGGGGTTCAATGGTACAAGGTATCAAAATAAAGCCCGTGTCAGGTTGTTTATAATGCGCCTCGCCTCAAAAAGGGTGTCAGACGATCGGACATTACATAATCAGGATTCTACTGAACTTAAATTTCTCAATTATACCCCTGAAACAACTCACAAATACTCCTCTGTTACACTGGAATTAAAAAAAGGAAGTATTAAAAAAGAGTATGAAATAATAAACTGAATTTTTACTAAAAATTGACTCTCTTGTATAAGCATACATAATGCACTAGTAATATAAAGAAAAAAACTGCTTTATAGGAACATCTCTTTTTACACAAAAAGTTTTTATATTTTAAGTAACATAACAAAAAGTGTTTTGTACATGATATAAATTAAAAAGAAAATCATCTGATTGCATATTTTGGATACATTTCATTGTAAATGTATAAATGAAATTGCAGGAAATAAAATTAGATATCTGGATTAAAACTAAATTATACAAAAAATAGCACATTAGATCTAATACAAACAATTTAAATCAAAATGCTACAGTTTGTTAAGATATATTTGTTAAATTATTAATAAATAAAATGATCCAATTAGTTAAAATATTACCATCATTGAATTTCCGTTTATAACCTCTACTAGTCCATGGAATAGGATCTGTAGCATCTGGGGATAATTGTTTTATCTTTCGAACAAATGCTTTGAATTCCCTTTCCAGCTTTACAATTTTTTCTCCGCATTCTGCAATATGTTGATCAGAATAACAAGTAACCTGAAGATAAGTATAAAACAAAATTCAACAGTTTAAAACTAAAAGACAATGACATTTTACTTCCGTGCATAGTTTGAAGAACTTAGTACATATTTTTAAATTAGATACACAAAATGTGTAGTTTTTGAATGGTTAATGTGCTGCTCTCTTCCTTTCAAACAAAGTTTTGCTATAAACAAATATATAACTAGCATAAGAAATTTTGCAACAGTCTTTCAAACTAATTTTAATAATATAATTTAATACAAAAAAAATTATAAATTTCATGTTAAAAAATTCATAGAAACTAATTCAAAGTGTTAAATTTCTCAACATTTCATTGTTCTGAAAAGAAACGTTTCTATTGCGAAAATATGCTCAGAATAAATGTTAATTAAAAATAAAGGTATTGATATTTAAAAATGTAAGAGATTTATGTTCAGCAAAAAATAATAAAATAAATTTTTTTCAAAAGGAAAGTATAAAGCCAATGCAATTTTAATATATTATAAAAAAAAGAGTCAATATATAAGTTTGTAAAACCTTAAATGTTTGTAATTCCAAAATATTACACATATCTTGTCTCTGAACTTTTAAAACAAATTGATAAAGTTCCAATTTCACTAAAGAATAATTAAAATAATTATTGATACAAAAATTGAATTCATTGCATGGTTCTTGGTAGCAAACAAAAAATGGGGGGACTCTCCTTTAAAAAAGTTGTACATCACTAACTTAAATGCATTTTAATTTCTTAAATGAAAAATATTTTCTTAAATACTCTAAATTCTAAGTTTTTAAAATCGATATGATACCTAAATAAATTTTCTTACATTGATTTAGAAAACAAATATAGTATCCTTTCCAACCAATCATTGAAATTTGGAATTTTTTTAAAAATCAAATCTAACATATATAATTGATTGTCTTCAAGCAAATAAATTTAGTTATTGGAGCAGATTGAAGAAAATATTTATAGTATCCTACACATGAAAATAAAATTCTAGTGTCTAAGAGTTTATAACATAAATTTTTATAATAAGTATTAGAAACTTATACAAGTGGTCGAAAGAAATTACTCAGCAAGATGGAAACAAGTTAGTCTTCTCAAATGAGAAACTTTTTGTACTGAAAAAACTTGCAAACCCTAAAAAAATTCCGTCGTCAGTATTGCGTAAAGACGATTCAATAAATAATTTGGGGAGCTTCACCAAAGAGAAAAAAGTTCTGTAGCCTCTCATTTATGAGGGAGTTAAAATTTGAGCATAAGTCTATAAAAAAGAAATTTTGGAAAAAGTACTTTTGTCTTATCTCTAAACTATGACAAATATTACTACTAGAGACAAATATTATTGCTTTCAGTTAGTTTATGTTTATTTGCATAATGCAAGCATAGCCCAGAGACAATATGGCTGATTATTAGAAAAATATGAATAGTCAAAAGCCCTCTGGATCTTAATCCATTAGATTATTTTGCATATAAGTCATCTAGACAAATACTGAACCACTTTTGGAGCTTATAGACTTTTTAGTACAGCTCATTTTGATTTGTCTATGGTGATATCCCTATTTTAGCAAGACTGCGATTTGTATGGAAATTTTGGCCCGTGCACTGTGAAACTCAAATAGCATTAACATAAGGGGACCTGTAATAACTAATAGAATTTTTTTGAGTAGCAGCTTATTTCACTTCAGTCAAATACTTGAATAGCTTAGCTCAGCTTGAAAGTTCAAAATAAAAGTTAAAAAAAATGAGTAAAATTTTGATTTCTTAGGAAAAGATCATACATACTTAATTTTTTTGCCGAGTCATTAAAATTGCGGATATTGGTGAAAGGTTACGAATCACAGTCAGAAATTAATTTCCTGACTTTTCCAGACAGATTTTATTAAATTTTCCTGATTTTTGTGAATAATGGCATAAATTTTATTATTAATTTGGTGCAAGAAAAATATTTTTTGAGAGAAAACTAGACAGTCTAACATAAACTTTTCAATTCTGTGACATTTATCTGATTTTTCCAGATTTTTTTTAAGGAAAAAAAAAAAAAAAAAAAAAAAAAANAAAAAAAAAAAAAAAAAAAAAAAAAAAAAAAAAAAAAAAAAGATTTTTCCACTGTTTTCCACGATTTTTCTGTTTTATTTTCACACCATAAATAACAGGTTTTTTTTTAGCATTTCTTACATTAAAAGTGCAAATTTTTTCTCAAAAGTAGATCACAAAAANAAAAAAAAAAAAAAAAAAAAAAAAAAAAAAAAAGACTTTCAGGTGTCTGCAATTAATTTAGTTTTGTATGAGTTAATAATATGTATTTACTCTTTATAGTACTAAAAATATCTAGTTTGTCTTAGAATTTAAAGAAAAAAACCTATGTAAAGTAAAATTAAAACTGAAGTTTTGCATCCAATGTATTTTTTCTACAAAATTAACTTATAGTAGGTCTTCAACTTGTTCCGGTCAAAATTAATGTTTTTTTTTTTTACTACATATAAATAACTTATATCTTTAGCTTTTAAATAAATTCTAATTCTACATTTGTTTTAAACACATGTTTTTGCTAACAAAAATGTTAAGCATGAAAAAAACAAACAAACTGAATTTAACTAAATAAATTGCACGTTTATTTAAAAAGATGTATATATTTTTGCCTGTAATCATTTTAATGGTCAACATTAATTACTAGAGATACATTAAGTGGGTATCTTGTATCAATTGATGGTGACATAATACATACATAAAAATCTGAACAACACAGAAAAAAGTATTCAGGCTATTCGGTTCCACTTTGCTAACTGTAGATATTAAAATTGCTTTCAACATATTCCTTCCATTAGAGGTTTAACATAAAGAGGATAAAAGCAGATGCTATCTACAAAAATCACTAAAAATCTTCTATCATCAAAATCATTCAAATTAAACCCTCCGAAATTCTGCATGCAGTTAAGATTTTAAAAAATACATGAAAAATAAAGAGTTTCAATACAATATCATAATAAATAAATTAATTAATAACATAAAATAAAAAAGGTACTCTATTTAGGAAATAAATGGTGAAAACTAAAAAGGAAAAAAAATTAAATTAGTGTTAACATGCATAAAAACAATGTAAAAATTAAAAATGGAAAGTTCATATGCTTAGATTGAATACCTGCGATTTTTTTAAATAAAAATCTATATCTCGTTTGATGCTGGGAAGCCATTTCTTAATTTCTTCTACAGTATGGAGGGAATCCTGCAAAAAAGAGGGATATTTTTTTATTACTTTATTGAAAATAAAATGCAAAATATCAAAAATAATAAGCATATCCAAAATGATTAGATATTAAACATAAAAGTATATCAAATATAAAAGCATATTGTATATGAAAATACTTAACAAACAAATACACAACAGACATAAAAACAAAATGAACAATAAATCTTTTATTGAAGCAAAAAAGGTAAAAACTACTTTTTCAGATAATGTTTTGTTTATTTGTTAGTTCTATTTTATTTGTTGTTAATGTTAGTTCTTTGATGAGTCACTAAAGTACCTACAATTTTTTGTGGTAATATTTCAAATATCAATTGCGTAGTTATTTACACTATCTAGACTAAATTTATTTGAAGTAGAATAATTGGAATCTGAAGTAATTGGAAATAAAAATACTTTGGAATATAAAATTTTTTAAACTGTTTTGTCTATAGATTTTCATCTATAAATTAAGCAAAACAAGATTAAGTTTTATGTGCTACTTAATTTTAATATTATTATGACCATTTACTTAATATTTTGCACTCAAATATGACACAATGAAAATTTGGCAAAGCAGATAAAAGAAAATTATCTATTTCAGAGAAAAATATGCTGATTAAATAAATATATAGTTAGAAATAAGGACTAATAATAATTTTTATTGAAATTTACTAAAATAGCAATGATTAAAATTCCAGTGGTCTATTTAATAATATTTATAGTAGTGACAAGTGAACTTAGAGACAGTTTTTTTTGAGAAATCAAGAAAAATATAAAAGAAGTTTATAGAAAATATAGTATATATTTTTAACAACCTTAAATATTTTATAATAGAAAAAATATATTGTCTGGAATATCTCATACAATGTATTCTAGACAATTTATTTTTCAATTAATATTAGAATTTGTTCCTATATATTAAAATTTGTAATAATAAATAAATAAAAAAGAAAAATTTTTATATTAACAATTAATATTGTACTGCTAAATAATGATATTAATGAAGATAATGCTTAAAGATTATATTTTTATACACACTGACTAACAAACATGAAACTTTTTTTTTTAAACATGCTCTTCTAAAACAATATTTAGGTACTAAATGCTCATTTGCATGTTAAATGGAGTTGTAAAGTTATAAATAAGCTCATTTAAAATCTTCAATTATCATCTTTTATCGTTTATTTTTTAGTTATCATTGTTTTATTCTCTTTGCACATTAATGGAACAAAAGTGAATTTTTTCATACAAAGTGTTAATCAATAGAAAGATGTATATTGTTTTTTAATGGTTGGTTACTTTTACTTTAGGGCTTGAAATTTTATTTAACTTTCTGCTTAAAAAAACAATTGGTTTAAACCTAAAAAAAAGGGTTTGGGTTATTTTTTTCTCTAAACCATGAGTAGTAGTAATAGTACTTTATTTATGCCACCTAAGATTTGCAGAATGGTCTGAAAAACACCTAAGGGGATGATCTGAAGACATGCCATAACAGTTTTAATTACTGCGGAAGGGATGGTTTCCTTCTTTGGAACCCTGACAACTTGAATGAGAGATCAAGCAGTTTAAGGTAGAACACTTTTATGAGGTTTGATACTGAATTCTCCTCAGTCCCTTTGCAGGTTGATCAAAGTAGTCACCCTCCCACAGGCTGACCACTGCCAGTAATGCTTAACTGGGCAATGGCGGGACTAATAATTATTACTAGAGTCTGAAGTGACATGACATTATTCAAACACATATTTTGCAATTTAACAAGATATAAAATGTTTCAAAAAATTCACTGTGAATTTTATGTTATGTATAAAGTTAAAATAAAATTCCATAGAATTCATATATAAATTTTTTTTTTAATT